TTAGGAAAAAAAAACATGACCGTGAAGTTTACCATAAAACAAGTTTTAACAAATTTTATAAAATTAGTATCATGGAGTCCACTCTGACCACTACAATTAAGATAGATATCTATTACAAAATTACTAAACACACTTCCAAATAACTCATGGGTCAAAATAAGAATCATAAGAGAAATGAAAAAATACTCGGAACTCTTCAGTAATAAAAATACAATCTAGCAAAACTCTTGAGTAATAGCTATAGCAATGCTTAGAAGAATGTTTGAAAATTAATGAGCTATTACAAAGAATAAAAGAAGAAGAATCACTAAGAAAATAGAATGGATAAAGCAATAAAGATAACATTGAAATAAATAAATTTGAAATCAAACATACATAGAATNCTGCACCATTTTATATAAGTGACTTGAGCATCCACAGATTTTGGTATCCATGAAATGGTGGGGATCCTGAAAACAATCCCCTGTGGGTACTGAGAGATGACTGTACATTAATATTTATGAATCACTGTTAATGAGCAAGGGCTCATGTCCAATGCACACAGAAGCCAATTTCATGGCACCAGTTTTTGAGAAAAAAAAAAANTAATCAAAACGTTTCTTATTTCATCTCTATAGAAAAAGAAAAATCAAAATGTTCCAAAGCACTCATGCATCAATAGTTCACCCCAAAGCCTGTGGCTTGTGGCCAGGAAACTATACAATAACAACATGTTTGGCTTTAAAACGTCAGACTTTTGGTCTGAATCATAAACCTTAACCTTCTTAGCTTACAGTTTAACCCTTTTTTAATGTTACTTATACTTGCTACACTTAATTTTAATAATATTGATTAGTTATGGTTAACAATTTAATATTGCTTATACTCTATATTGATCAGTTTAATTTATAATCAAAATTACAATGTTTATAACATGAATATTACAATGAACTTTAACTATAAATCTTATTAAATTTCTATGTTATTGTTACAAATTTTGTGTTACAAACTGATTTAAACAAAACCTATTAATATCAAAATTTATTTGTGTTTCTTTACTTTCTAACTTAAGTATCTTATAATGAAACCTTTTATTTCCCTGCCAATAGACTCCGGGAACAGCACAGGGGACAAAGTGAAAAGTTAAATGACCCTTCTTAAGTTTGTTAAAATACACTGCATCATTTCCATCCCGGAATGATATGTACTTGGTGAGTCAAGTGAAGCAATGGGAGTGAAGAAGGAACAAAGAAATCTGTAACTGATTGTGATCAATTAGTTGTAAACACCACTGCACTTGGACCCACTGTCTCCCTAGGAGACGTGGATTTATAAAAATTTAACACAATAACTTCATTCCACACGCACAAGAGCATGATCACAACTATAGAGCTAGTTATTCTAAAATTATGGGTCAATGCACAAACTGCTAACAGGACAATTAAATCAAATCAACCCATACTGGGAACATGCATCAAAAACACCTTTAGTACTGACAATGCCCTTTAAATAAACCAATTAATTCTGATACATATTTAACATGTCCCTTGAGAAACTCCAGGGCCCTTGGAATTCCCCAAAGCCATGCCAAGCCAAAAGGTTGGGCTTTTTAATTTCGGAAAGCTTGGTCAAGTAACCAAAGGTGAACAAACAAGAAATTCCACGGAGCCATGCCACACATGCAGGATACCCCCGCAGCCTAGCTGAACAAGGGGTGTCACTCCTCAGGCTCCCAAGCCGTTCCCCATAGCAGGATGGCTCTCGACAGATGGGAGTGGAGTTCACTTTAGATCTGTGCTGATCAATAAGGTAATAACTACTAGCCATATATAGCTATATAAATTTAAATTGTTTAAAATTAAATTTTTTAAAGTTCATTTTTTTGGTCATACTATATATTTTGAGTGCTATTGCCACATATAGCTAGGGTTACCATATTAGGTCAGAAGAACATTTCTTTTATCATAGAAGGCTTTATTAGGTAGCATAGCTCTAGATAAATATATACTAGATTAAAAGACAGGTAGATAATAGGTAGAATGACAGAGTTAGAGATGATAGAAATAGAGACAAAGGTAGAGATAGAAACAGATAAAGATATAGAAATAGATATACAGAGTGATGGCTTCGCTGAGAAGGTGATATTTTATCAAAATAATGAGAAGACATTGAAAATATTGGGACAGTGTTCCAGGGAGAGGGCAGACGAAGGGCAAAGGCTGAGATTAACAAGCTCAGTGTGGTGGAAGGACAGGTCATAGTGGAGGAGGGGAAGAGTTGGGGAGACAGGGAGTGGGTCATATAAGTTCTTATAAGTAGTTTCGATTTTAAGCTAATGGCAAAAGAAGTCATTGGGGTGTTTGAAGTAAAGGAGATTTCAATCTGATTTACATTTTTTTAGAGATCACTCCGGCACTATTTGAAGAATGGACTGTTGTATAGGAAAAATGGAAGCATGGCCATCTCAGAGGAGATGATGTAGTAATTGAGGGGAAAGACATGGTGGCACGAACTGGAAATAGAAGTGGGGAGGATGAGAAAACATTTAGGTTATATTTCAAAGATAATGTCACCTGGATATGCTATTAAATTGGGTAAGGAGAGGGAGAAAAAAAGAAATACTAAGGATCACTTCTAGTTTATTTTTTGCAAATGGAAATGACAATTAAAAAGAGAACATAGAGAAGAAAGATTGGGAGAGAAAATCCAGAGTTCTGCTTTAGAACAGTAAGTTAAAATGCCTGTTAGACATCTGCATCAGTTTTCTATGGCTGCAGTAACAAATTGCCAAAAATGTGGTGGCTTTAAACAGCAGAAATTTACTCTCTCACTGCCCTAGAGGCCAGAAATTCAAACTCAGTTTTACTGGGCTCAATTCAAGATGTCAGTAGAGCCACGTTTCCTTTGGAAGCTCAGGGCAGAATCCATTTTCTTGCCAATTTTAGCTTCTAGTGGCTGCCGGCATTATTTGGCTCAAAAGTCACATTGCCTTCTCCTCTTCTGTGTGTCTTCTATCTTTGTGTATTTTTTTTCTTACCTCTCTCTTATAAGGACATATATTATTGCATTTAGGGTCTGCCTGAATAATTCAGGATAATTTCCCCATCTCAGGATCTTTAATTCAGTCATGTCTACAAAGACTCTTTTTCCGAATAAGGTGAACAAAAATAGTGTGTCTTCTATCTTTGTGTATTTTTTTCTTACCTCTCTCTTATAAGGACATATATTATTGCATTTAGGGTCTGCCTGAATAATTCAGGATAATTTCCCCATCTCAGGATCTTTAATTCAGTCATGTCTACAAAGACTCTTTTTCCGAATAAGGTGACATCCACAGGTTCCAAAAATTAGGACTTGGATATCTTGGGGGGAACAGGGGTGCATTTTTCAGCCTACCACAATAAACAGAGGCAGTTAATGAGCTGAATGCATGCATCTGAACCTGAAAGAAGAGGTCAGGAACTACATATATGAATTTAGGAGTAGTCATTGTACAGATAGCAATGGCACAGGTATAATCACTGAGGAAGGGAAGGAGAGGAGGGCTGAGAGCCACACCCAGGGCACTTCCAACCTTCAAAGTCTGACACAGGAGGAAATTCCTGAAAAAAAAAAAAAAAAAAAAAGAAAGAAAGACAGAAGACAGAAAAGGGGCATCCAGTGGGATATGGTGAAAAACAGGAAGATATGATGTCTCAGAATGCAAATTAGAAAAATATTTTAAAGGATAAGCCACCTAATGCATCAGATGCAAATGAGAGGCCAATTAAGATGGGATAGAGAATTAACCATTGCTTTTCATAAAGAAGACTTTAGTAGGTGAAGAGTATGAAATTCTGAGCAAAATTGGCGAAGAGGAAATGGGAGTTCCTGGCAGTATGGTATTCTCAATCATCTAAAAAAATCTCATTTTAAAAAAATCTTATGTTACGATTATGTTATTTTTTGTTTACAAAAAAAATTATGTTTTATAAAATATAGCAAAAATTCTCTCAACTATATGGCAGAGCTCTCACACACACAATATAATAGTAATAATAAATATCCTTGGAGCAACAAAGCAAAGAGGAAGCTGAAAACAGAGGGTAAAACAACTGCAGAAATTCCACTTGTCTGGAAGTGTTTGTCTATCTGAGATGCAGTTTTTAATGGCCACCAGTCTTGGTATTGAAACACACACCTAATAAACCTGCCTTAAAGTGTGATTTCCAGAAAGAAAAAAACTTGTCAGTCTTTTTGTTAATTGGTTATGAATATTAAAATTTGTTAATCTTGACCAGGGATTTAGATTTTTAAAAAATATATACTCCTAGAAAATTTTAATCATATTCCTGTTCACAAAGGTTGGGATTTGAATTTACACTGTTTGCCCTGGGCAGTAAATGCCAAGTAAAAAATTATAAAAGCAGTCCTGGCCCACAACAACCCAGGATGCTGGCACAGGCAAAAGAAAATCTCCTCTGGACAATAAAGATGTGTTCTCAACCCAGACGGCATAAAATTTCTAACCAAGCCAGACCCCAATATACAAGATTACAAATACAAGAGGAAATACGCCACAACAGCTGAGCTACAGGAAAGAAAATCAAAGAAGAGAGTTGGATTCCTCAGGCTTTCAGATAATGAAAGCTGATTTCACATTTTATTTTCTTTGATGTCTTAACTGTATTTAAAGAAATAGGATTTAAAGGTTTACAGAAATGAAATACTAAGTCAAAAGGAAAAAACCCCAATGCTAAACAAGCAAACAAAAAAAACCAGGTGGATTTGAAAAAAGCACCAAATAAAAATTTAGAAGTTAAATATATAATAATGAAATTAAAAACTGTAGTTTATTTAAATCCAGCAGAAGAAAAATATTAAGTAAATTAGAAAATAGAGCTGAAGAAATCATTGCTAAACTAAAAAAGACAATACAATGAAAACTATGAAAGAGAGGTTAGGAAACAGCTTGAATGATGTGTCAGTTATCTATCGCCGCATAACAAACCATCTCAAAACGTAGGAACCTACGACAACAGTGATTTACTATTCTTTATTCTGTGAGTTGACTGAGCAACTTGCTGGTTCCATCTGGATTCATATTCGTGTATCTGCATTTAACTCATGTGTTGACCAAGCTCAGCTGGGACAGGTGGGATTATCTGGACATGTCTCCACAAGATCTTCATCCTCAGGGAGCCTGGATCAGCTTCCTCACATGGTGGTGGCCATGACCTAAGAGAGTAAGTCCTAATAAGTACATTATCAAGCTTCCTTGTGCCACATTTGCTAGTGTTGCATTCTCCAAAGGAAGTCACATGGCCAAGCCCATAGCCAATGTGGAAGGAACAACTTTGGGATCCTGAGAAGCATTAGTGTAATAGCTGTTACAAATGAGAAGGCATAACATATATCTGATTGGGACCCCAGAAAGAAAGGAAGGATTAAGAATTAAGAGTAATGAAGAGGGGCAATATTCTCAGAGTCAGTGACTAAGACTTTTCTGAATGTATATGTATGCATATATGTATATGTATATATTCTCCAGACTTGGAATATTCAACTAATCCAAAATGGACTTCATCTTAATTAATAGTATAAAAGATTAGAAAATCAATGTAAATATTAGTAAAGTAGCCAGAGAAAAAACAGATTACCCACAAAGGAATGACTATGAGACTGACAACTGACTTCTCAACTCTAATGATGGAAATCAAAAAGTAAAATAGTATTTTCGAAAGCTGGGTGAAAATAATTGTCAATGTGGAACTCTAGATACCCAGTAAACCATCTTTCAAGAATAAAGTTAAAATAGAGACAATCTTAGAAAATTAGGAACTGATGTAGTTTGCAAACAAATGACTATCACTAAAGAAAAAAAAAAGGGATGTGTTTCTGCAAAAAAGCCAAGGCGGATGTACGAAAAAGCAGGAACTACATATATGA